TCAGCCCAGAAGTTAGTGACTTCAAGCACTGATGCCACGTCTTGGTTTGGCCGCCCCTAACTTTCTTCCAACCGTCTCCAACACTAGTCAGCATTACGCGTCATGGTAATCAGTGTTCAAGCATACGCAACACATGGCCCAACCACCTCAGTCGGTGAAGATTGAAAACCTCATCAACTGATTTACCATCCTATCCTAATACCCCGAGTCTAACCTCACTATTACTTACCCGGTGATCCCAGCAGATGCGAGCAATATTTCTAAGACACCTGTGGTCAAATACTCGTAGCTTACGAGTATCTTCTACTCTTAAAGGCCATGTTTCGTAGCCGTATAGTAAAACGGAACGAATTTCCGCGCAGTATACTCGTCCTTTTATTGATAGACGGATATCTCGCCTTCGCCATAGGTGACGTAAGTTGGCAAAGGCCAAACGAGCTTTTCGAATCCGTGCTGAGATTTCGTCAGACATCAACCCATTAGGGCTGATCGGTCTTCCAAGATAAGTGAAGTAGTCAACGTGTTCGACTACTTCACTCCCTATGCTTAGTTCAGGTGTTGACGCAGACCAGTCCTGAAGCAACAACTTGCATTCAGAGGGGGAAAAGCGCATCCCAAACATCCTGGCATTGTTGCTCAGTGCTACCAGAAGACTTGGCATTTTATCAGAACTATATCATCTGCGTATTCTAAGTCGATAAGTGGACCTCCTGGAAGGAGATCAATGCCCGAGAACTCAGTAGATGAGAGAGTTATTTCCATCAGTAGATCTATGATGAAGTTAAACAAAAATGGAGAAAGTGGACAGCCTTGACGGACACCACTTGAGGTTGCAAAAGCAGATAACAATTTAATGATGCAGGATAGGAGTTTTATCGGTCTTCCAAGATAAGTGAAGTAGTCAACGTGTTCGACTACTTCACTCCCTATCCTTAGTTCAGGTGTTGACGCAGACCAGTCCTGAAGCAACAACTTGCATTTAGAGGGGGAGAAGCGCATTCCAAACATTCTGGCATTGTTGCTCAGTGCTACCAGAATGTACATTTTGTCAGCGTCTTCACCAAACAGGACTATGTTATCTGCGTATTCTACGTCGATAAGTGGGCCTCCTGGTAGGAGATTAATGACCGAGAATTCAGTCGGTGAGAGCGTTATTTCCGTCAGTAGATCTATGATGAAGTTAAACAAAAATGGAGAAAGTGGACAGCCTTGACGGACACCACTTGAGGTTGCAAAAGCAGATGACAGTTCGCCATAAACTCTGACTCGACTAGTAGTGTTCGAGTAAAGAGCCTTCACAAGGTTTATGTACTTCTGAGGTACGCCTTTCAATGACAGACACTGCCATAGAACCTCTCGGTCTACAGAGTCAAATGCTGCTTTTAAGTCAAAGAAGACCACCATTGTCGGACGCCGATAAGTATGCCTGTGTTCTAGAACCTGACGAATGGTGAATATGTGGTCTATGAATCCACAACCATGTCTGAAGCCAGGCTGATTTTCTCGTGTTTGCAGTTCACAAGTCTTAGTTAGACGTCCGATAATTATCGAGGCAAGTAATTTAGATACTATATTAGTCAAACTAATCCCTCTATGGTTTTCACAGAATGGTTTTGACACTTTCCTATATATATTGGGACGATAAGTGATTGTGATCAGTTAGATGGGATAACGTCTAATTCCCAGAATTTAGCTAAAATATTAGTCAACCTAATCGCTAAAACTAGACCACCATCCTTAAAGTCATCTGGGGCCAATCCTTTTGGACCAGCTGCCCTTCCTCGTTTCAGTCTAGCTATAGTCTTTTGAACTTCAGATTGAGCCGGGGGACCGTATTCAATGTTCCATCCACGCTGTCTGGGAACAGTGGGTAGTTGTAGAGTAGCTGATGGTCAGCTGAACTGCTCCTTAAAGTGTTCCGCCTATCGCTCTAAACGCCTGATCTGAGAGCAGATAAGAGTACCGTTTTTTCCGAGATCATTTCACTTACACATGACTTATTAATTCCAGTTTCTCTTATTAGTTTGTAGAGCTGTCTAGTGTTACCTACAACCGCTGCCTTTTCCATCTCTTTTACTTTCGTTGCCCACCACTGCTCACAATCGTTCCTTAGACTTTTGCTTAACCTAGATCTGATTTGTTTACGATCTTCATCGTGTTCAGAACCTAATGTGATGAGTTTACAAGAATCCATCAGTGCAATAGACTCTTTGGTTTAAATCACTAACAGATATCACAGCTGTTTGTATATCCTTCCAAGCAACATCTGGGTCATACTCGTTTTCAGAACTACCTAAGTGTGACCTTAGTTGTTCTACTTTTGGTTTTCTCGTCACTCAATTCAATTCTAATGGGTCTTCCTAGTGTGGCTTTTCTGCGTCCGATGAGGTGCAAGTAGATGCGTGCCCGTATTAGAGCGTGGTCGGAGTCCAAGCAGGCGTTCCAGAATGAGCGACAATCTTCTATCGACCCTCCCCAACAATGACTGATGGCAATATGGTCTATTTGAGTTCATCGTCGATTTGCTGCAGGCGGTCGCTATGTTGGACGATGTCTCTCCTTATGCTTAAAATTAGTGTTTGCTAAAAATAAACGATTGTCTGAGCACAGTTGCAGCAGACGATCACCATTATCTGTTCTCTGTGCCGGAATACTAAAATACCCACTTAAATGTCTTTGTGTTTCGTTTAAGCTACCTGCCTAGGCATTGAAGTCACCTGCTACGATTACTATGTCTGTGTGTTTAGCTTTCTAAAGAAGTTCAGAAACCTTTCTGTAAAAGTCATTTTTCACTTCATCTGGGCTGCAGTCAGTGCGAGCGTAGACAGGAACGACAAAAAGGCAACGACGTATGTTCCTGTCCTTCCGAGTTCTTACGGAACCGTTTAGCCGAACAGCGCATAGACAACTGTTTACGGGGATCCACTCTAATAGTGTTTGTTCCGCCCTCATGCTTAGTGCTATGCCTACACCTGCCAGTCCACGAGAACTAGCCATCGGGTCGCCAGATACACGGAGGATGTATCTCGTCGGCTCTCCGTTTTGCCGAGGTGAGGTCAAGTGAATGACCACACCAGGATCCTGTATGCGTGTTTCGGAGACACTGCACATATCAATCGTACGAGATTCTAGGGTTTTAGCCAAGGAAGCCTGCTGACCGATTTGACATATGGTGGGTACGTTTGAAGGCTCCAATGTGTAGTTTGGAGCGAGGTTTCAGTAGACCTCGGACAGTGTTTTGTGTACTAGAATCGTTGGCTATGGTGGCACTTGAGGAGGAAACCAAAAGAGGAAGCTTAGATTTGAAAATCGATGTAGGAGGAGGAATAATAGGAATTGAAGAGGGAGGCGATTATGAATACAGTGATCTTGAGTGTTGTTAGAGGTATGAGGGCGGTTATCACTTCCCCGTTGTCCCCACCATGGAAGGCGAGGTGTGCATTTTTAGGGTCGATCTTTTCTAACCCCACCCCTCCTTGTGGGAAGGCAGCATGGCTGTCATACTGGTTGTCTAGGGGGGAACTCCTTACTGCCGTCACATCTCTGTACAATCAGCAGTACGACATCGCCCTCGGAACTTGGGTTTGCTGCTTTCAATTTCACCACTCCTCAACCGACCTGTTTGGCATTTATTTATTTAAACACATAAACATCGGTACGACGAGGCACCAAAGAGATATGCGTCACATAAATTATTCGATTTGACCTAAAGGTCTAATCCACAAGGCAGTGGAACAACGTCAGGAGATGCAGTCCTATGATTGCCGGTGACGAACAGTTGGTTCATGTACCGTTTGTTTCCTTAGGATCCTGGGGCCCATGTGCACCAGTGGTTTGTAATCAGGGTTTTTCAGCTCCCCTAGGTGGATCCTCCATATCCACTGCACCGGTTAAGGTGCCGAACATTCTCTTTTCGTCCTCTCAATGTCGTAAACGAGACATCCGCCACAAGAAGTAAGTAAGTAGGGCTTCCCTGACTGGTTGTATGCATGTGGCCTCTTTGGAGCATTTCAAGAGAAGTAACTGACTCACCACTCTCGGCTGTACCAGGGTATGGTAGGACCTTGATAAACGATTGTTCCAGCCAGTATAACTCGAATGGTTCAATACGATAGGCAAGCCCGACCACCACGTCAAGTTAGCAGCAACGGTAGGGGATTAAGTGATAAGCTTAACCACGGAAATTTTAAGACGTCATTTTCAACTTTTTGTCTTTTTGCATATCGTTTGGATTGAGAGTTATGTCTAGATTTTCATTGGTGTTAATATCAGTCCCTCTTGCTTCTTATTCCATCAATTTTCTCTCACTTTTGTGAGACATCCACTCGTTGAAGGGTGCGCTTATCGAACAATTCGTTGTCTACCTCTGTTGTTAGGCATAACTTTCAATGAACATACATGGATTACTAGTGTTTTTAACTTTTTCGGAATTTCGTATGACTAGAAGCCTAGTCATCCTAATTAAATAGTTCCATTAGTGTTCCAAACTAGAGTGCTATTTAGCAATACTGTTTGTGCTCCGGTCACCATCCATTAAAATAAAACAAACCATCTGTTTAGAATCCTGTTATTTGACCATTCAAAGAACTTGTGAAATTAAAGTAAGCTCAAGTGTCATGTTTTCCGTTGATATTTATAAATCGTTTCTCAAGTTCATTAAAATGTAGTCCAAATTATTATCCAAATAATTGCTAACGAATTGTGCTTTGTATGAAGGTGACCTCTTCATATTTAGCATGAAGCATTCAGGCTGTCGTGTGATCCGATCACTTTTTATATCAATTTGAATCATGATGAATTTAAGCTTAAGATTATACAGTCTTCGCGACAATAAAAATTTTGAATTGCTTATCGTCAGAACTATTTTTCTGCGAAATTGTTAATTGAGTAAATTTTAAATCCCGTTAAATGTCAGCAACCAAAAACAGCTTGCATATGATATTTTACTTTTTTAGAAAAGCTCAGCTGTTTTATCAAAGTAGTCGTTACCTTGGTTGAAAATGACGCTTCACACAGGGCGTTTGCTGGTCGGTCGTGAAAAGGAGCAACAGTTTTTGTTTTCATTAATGTGTAAAGTACGTATGAGCTTTGATTGGATGTCAAGGATAATTACAGAAAAACCCTTTATCCACATGCTTTGTAATCACAGGCCCTCCGGGTTGTGGCAAATCAGTTTTAGTGTCCTCAACATTTGAACTTCTGGAAGAGTCTTGTGGAATGTTATGGGTGTTAATTAGCTGCCTAGAAAGCTTTGTGGGGACCCAAGGGACATGTGGAGCTACTTCATCAAGATATTTTCTTGAATTGATTTTGCAATCGATTAAGTGTCGTTATCTGCCCGAAGCTGATGTATGTATTAGTTGTGAAGATACCTCCAGTTTCATAGATAACTTATCTCAAATTTTGCTAGTTATCGGAGCTAGAAATACCCATGACCAGAGTAAGTTCAGATAAACTGTTGTTTTCAATATTTTCAGCTTGTTTGGGGTTAATTTTCGAACAGGCTGAGAGACTGTGCGATGGGGAATCACTTATCCTCCCCTTAATAATCAGTCTTGGAGCTTCTGTAAATGAAAAGCTAAATCAATTAGGCAGTCTTCACACACTGTTGTTCACTGTCCTGGTAACTAGGTTGCCATGGGAGAAGTTTAATTTCGGGACATTCAGTTTTGAACCTTATGTTATCTCTGTTGAAAGTTATTCTCGTGACCAGTTGGCAAGATTACTTACATCTTTATTGCCGTCTAATGCATCTGAATCTCGTTTCAACAGGTTTGTTGATTTACTGTTGACAGTTTGCTTCCCTGTTTGTCGTAACGCTGGTGAACTCATTCATTTAATGAATGTAAGTACTTTTAATTTTAACCTTTACAACAATAGATAAACTGGAATGCTTTTAATGAGCCTGTGAATAAAGGCTTGGTTGCCCCGGATGATGAATGGGGTCAATGGAAGTTGGCTCAACCATATCTCAAAAAGTCTTTGTCTACGCTGTATTTGCGTCATTATGCGGATTCAAATTTAGATTATCTGTCTACGAAAAACGCTGGGAGACAAAATTTTTTGGAATTACCTTATTTGACTAGATTTTTACTTATTGCTGCATTTATGGCTTCACATAATCCCCGCTCATCGGACAAAAAGCTCCTGACAAAGGTGACTATATATTTTACTTTTCGTCGTAGAAAATTTAATTCAAAATGTTTGACCTGTCCTGAATTTCTCTATGTTAGAGCTTTCACCTCCTTTAAATACTCGTCTTTATTAGTACTTCAAAGATTTCTTAAGCACTTCCATTTACAAATTCAATTTCCCTACCCATATTATCCGTCTCCTTTTTTATTATTCTATTTAGAACTCCGGACGTTTAAGTATCCGTAAAAAGAAACAGGAAAAGGAAGTATACAAGGTGAGTTATTATTCTTCACTAATTCATTACTAACGCCACCAACATTATTGTTGGCTTGCATAACAGTGTAATAGTACTTTGAAAAGTAGTTCTCACGATCACTAATGTGTATGTTATGTAGATGGACAGTTTATCAGTCATTTCAATGTTTATTTACGAGTACATCAAGTACCATCGTTTCTCCGTTGACAGAAGTAGATGTCATAAGAGATATTAACCTTAACAAATACACTCTGACTCCATGGATTGATAATGTCAACTGATGTGGTCATCAATAATGTTTGAACGATTATCCAATCAATTTTTTTTACAATCACAAATGAGTATTGATATTTTAATTTCCATGTTAACCTAGTCATAAGGATTTAAATTCACTAAACGATACTCCAAGTTACTTTGATCTGTGCCGCGAAATGTATTGGAGCTCTGAATGTACAAACTAGGCCAAACTTTTGATTAAATAAGCGCTATGAACTCATATAAGTTACAATACAGTCGTACATGATAGGCAGCTTACAGATGCATTCCACGTGGAGACTGATGCTAGAGGGAGTCGCTTACTATCACCCTCACCTTCTTTTGCTGTTCGACTGGAATATGAAAACCTCCACATTTGGGGGAAATCACGGAATACAATGGACGGCTTGAGTGCAGCTAGACGACTCCACATAGTACCTCGCTGTTCTATCCCATGCACAGCGACAAATACAGGTGAAGACAGTCAGCGTAGCAGCTGACTACAACAATGGGCCTCAACTTATAGGACGGAAGAAGCAAGATTTTGAAATACAACACAGAGAGAACCAACCTAATCACGCTTGGTGGAGAAGCTCTGGAAGAGGTGGAGACATTTACATACGTAGAGAGTATGATTGATAAACATGCGAAGCCTGATGCAGTTGTAAAAACACGGATAGGCAAAGAAATGGGAACATTCTTACGACTAAAGAGCATATGGAACTCAAAACAACTGTGCGCCAACACGAAAGTCAGAATCTTCTATACAACTGTCAAAACAGCATCGTTGTACGGAGAACTAGAAACAACATCTATAAGGTGTAGGTAGCTATGAACAGCAATCTGCGCAAGCTACTCCAAATCCGTTGACCAGATATCAGCAATAACCTACAGTGGTAGAGAACAAACCAACCTCCAGTTGATGAGGAATTCAAGAAAAGACACGAGAGGTAGATAGGATGCACATTGCAAAAATCATTAAACTGGATCACAAGACAAGCCATAACTTGAAATCCTCATTGCAAAAAGAATAGAGGATGACCAATGAACCCATTGTGGCGGAGATTGCAGACAGGCATCAAAAGAGTGAATAGCATTTGGAAACAACTGAAAAGAAGTGTATAGGACACAGTAAGTTGGAGATGTATGATCGGCAGGCTGTGCTTCACGAGGCGCTGCAGGCATAAGTAAGTATTTACGTCATTATTTTCCTCCAAAGCCCCATGTGCTTTAACCTGAATCTAACGAAATAAAAGTTTACTCATTACCTAACAAAACAACTCGTTAATTGTTAAACATTTTCATTCGACTAATGAAAAGTGGATACACTAATGTTAATATGACTGCATTTGACTTGATTTTTAACGTGGCACATTTATCTATAAAATGACCATCTGTGTCATATAGAAAGTTTAAAGATATGTTGCTTTTTATTTCTTAGACACAAGCGGAGTTTACTGGACCTCGAATCTTCACCCTAGATCGCTTGTTGGCAATATTCTATGCCCTAGTACAAAATGAATTTGCAAAAGTACCATGCACAAGTATTTTAATGAGTCAAATTGCCTGTTTAACAGCATGTGGTCTTTTATCGCCAAGTTCACAATCTTTGTCTGTTGGGAATTCATCTACTACTGGATTGAGTACAACAAATAGTTCGGTTAACGCTATATCTGATTTAGACCCTTTGGCTAACCCTAAATATCGTTGTTTGATAAGTTTAGAAATTGCTAAAAGTATAGCACAGTCGGTTGACTTTGATTTGTTATCTCATCTTACAGAAAATTATAACTCGTGAAAAATATACATTTACTGATTTATTTATTTTTGTATCAAAATTATTTGTATTTTTGTGTTTGTATATATTATTCACATAGTTTACAGATAATTAGACGTATGTTCTATAAATTATTATACTTAGTGATAACATTTGTTCCTAATTTACTTGATCTAATGTAAGCAATTCACTTTCTACAGATGGGACTAGTAATAGTAACGCAAAGAATTATTTGTTTTTTGTCATCCGGCTTATGATTGAAAATATCTTATTGCAGATCTTACGCAGTTTATATTACTGGTGGTGATATATTTAACACTAACTTTTCTAATGTAGGTTTACTGACCTGGAGTCAGTCAAAGTGACAACTAAATCCTACTAGACAAATTTAAAGTGTATAGTGAATGAAATGACTTCGTTATACACAGTAGCGCTCAACGACACTAGTTCTTGAAACCACATATATACCTAAAGGCAAGTACTTTACTTTCTAGATAGGTATATATAATAGTACTAAGTCTATGAATAAATATATTTCTGATGCTATTCTAATCGTGTGAAATACAATAACATTATTTCAAGGTCTCCCTGTGGTTTAGATAAAATTCTTTATTCAGTTTAAATGGGAATCGCACAAGTAACTCCAGCTGATTATGCATTCGAACAGAGTATATAAATATTTGTTTTACGCATTGATATAGCTTTAATAAGGTGAAACTTTCAGTAGTGTCGATTGATTGATGGATTACATGAACTACTGAAAAACAAGCCAACATTCCAGTCACTTAATATAAGGGTTCAAGGAAACTCGTTTTCACTTTCCCTCTTTTCTATTATGAATTCTATAAAGGATATTTTGTTGCTAACCTGCCCAAAATAACTTGATAGATTACCTCAAGGTACCATCTTATTTCCCGTTTGATCAAGCTGTCAAGATAATCAAATGCCCTGGTACGGCCGAGAGTGGGGAGAGTTCGCTCACCCCCTCGAAATGCTCTCACATGGCCACGCGTGTATAGCTTCTGCCAGGGAAGTCTTACTCATTGCCTTCTCGTGGCGGGGGTGTTGTTTACGAAATTGAGTGGACGAAATGCGAAGGTCCGACGCTTTAACCGGGTTGGTGGACACCGAGAGTCCACCTAGAGGAGTTGGAAAACCCTGATTCCAAACCAATGGCGCAGATGGGCCCCAGTATCCTGAGGGAACAATTGGCGCATGAACCAACTGTTGGTCACCGGCTATCATGGGACTGAATCTCCTTACGATGCTCCACTGCCTTGTGGATCAGACTTTTAGGTCGAAGGCTCCGGGAGTGGCCTAAGAAAACCACCTGCTTCGGTTCGGGCACCCGGACAGTATCCCAGCCCTTGCACAAATCAAATGAGATTTGTGTGGCACATATGTATTTACTGCCTCCTTGTATCAATATCTATGTGTTCAAATAAACTAATAAAAAGTTATATTTCCATTATGGATAGTAATTATTACGCAGGACTTGGTTCGGGATAAAAGCTTATCGAAAAAGTAAAATTGCAAATACGAAAACAGTATGGTCGACAGAATTTGTCTCTGAGGTGCTACCGGTGTTTCTTCATGAATAGGCTAATAATAGAAACGTCAAAAAGATCTGTTTTGTATTTGGCATTTGTTATGACGCAACGAACACTAATAGTTGGAATTGACTTTTCAAGTTATTTTGTTCCCAGTCTATTGTTGTCTCCCTTATTTACGGTACTTTCTGGCTTGTTTGTGTATAATTGTTATTTTTTATAATGTGATGCGGTCCGGTATGTCTGGATATAAGTCGTCTTTTTGAAACATAAATATAGTAGGGGCCGTTTGCTTTTTCTGAACTCAAGATAGAGCATGGAGAGGAGCTTGCGAGAATCAGATCAATGAGAGATTAGCTTTTGACTTAAGGTCAGTTATGGTGATCGGGGATGTAACTGGCAAATCAAATACATTAAGGTATAGAGTAAATAATAAACGCGAAGTAGACTAAAATAGAATCAGAATTCTGATTGGTGACTTGGCACGTGATATTTGTCAACGGCCACATGACAGCAGTAATCGTTTCCGACTCGACCTCAAAACCAGTTTACGTCTAGTACATCATTTTGAAAAAATTCCTGTCATGGTTTTGTTGGGTTGATCTAGCTGTAGTAGGAACCAAATCTTGAATAATTATGCTTTTCATAGCACTGACAGAAAATCGTTAATAAAAGCAACTTTAGTGAGCTAATAGTTTTTTGATCATTCGAATCAGTGAGGCAAGCAACGTCCTGTTATAACCTGTGTTATTGTTTTGATATTTTAATGGAAATTAGTATGCCTATTACCGATCAAATTAAGGGATATTAATAGTATTTGTTGGTTGAAGTCGTTCTAACTAGAAGACGCACTTCGTTACAGTGACGGCTAAGGCGTTCCCAATGCGTGTGTGTATTGTAATAGTTTGTCCCACTAGACGAGAGCTTCATGGAGCATTGACCTATTGGCTAAGACGCTCGACTTTCGTCTGCTAAGTCCCAGGTCTAGTCATCTCTAACTAGTATCATTATCCCTGGCACTTACAGTGTGGTTCGTACATAAGTACTTCATGAATAAATTAGTTGAAGGTTTTCCTAACATTAACTTGGAGCTAACAATAATTACTTCGAACCGAATAAACTCTTATCGTTAAGTATTTAAGTGATATCGATAGCAATATAAAGTTCTAAGTTTCATACCTATTTCTCTATTGTACGTGTATCCATGACTTAATTCACTATTAAATGTGAATGTGGAATGTGATCACCCATTTGAGAATAAAAGAGCTGTTTTATGTGCGTATTTCGATTTTTCAGTTTATTCTCAAATTTCACATGTATCTCATTGAATTTGAATGTAACATCAAATATACTGTAAATTTTTGTCCTGACTTTTTTAAAGATATTCTTTGTCATTTTTTCATGTACTTGGTTGGAGCATTGCATCTACTTCTTCAGCAGTTGATGAGAGAACAAACTCATACTGCTCCTAAAATAAAACAAGTACGAAGTATTATGATCAAATGAAAGCTCCTAGTTATGCTTAATTAATAATTGTTCTCCATACGATCAAGTTAGCACATTTATGTGCTTGTCCCACACAACATTTAGGTAATATAACTCAAACTGAATCATAGAACATTTCATTCATAATAATATAGGGACAATTTAGTTTAAATCACGTCGTGATCTGTTTTCTAATCTTCAATGTCATATGAATGCATGGAACGGCTTTCTTCACCCTGTATATTGAATCTGGCGGCTGTTCAGGCAGTTAAATTTCGTAATACTAACCATTCGTGGAAATCGAAGAATTTCTATATCAAAAAATAATCTGTTCTACGGTTTGTCACCAACCATTAAGCAAGTAAGATTTCCACTGTGCATAACTTGAAGGAGGTAATAAAATGTCTACATTAACATGGAAATCATACTACTAAAAGATACAAGTAGTTGGATGCAACGCACACTGGTCCTAAGTTTTCGATAAAAAATCAGATCACAGACTGTTAACATTCTTGATTGTTCCATGTCGTAAGGACGGGTTATCTTGCCTTCACATAAGTATAAATATCAGCATCGGCTGTAAATCACAAAACACTGTAACAATTTTAGATGGATAACCAAACGGTTGCGCTAGTCCATTCGAGATAATTGTCATGATGTGAAAAGGTATACTCGGTCTCAATATGGTTAATTGTCCTAAGTACGTTTCTTCTGGGATATTCACTTGCAAACAATAGAAACTGCCGTATGGTTTACTGTTGTTCATTGACTGACGATAGTACTAGCTCATCACCTAAAATTGTATGTCTGTTAAAATAAAAAAACTATAACTTCAACAGAAAGGAGCTTTTTGTATTCAAAATAGCCAATAAAAACTACAGATCCATGCACACACCATTTAACTAAATCTATACCACCTAATTGGTAACATCTCAATTTTTCATATTCTTAGAATCTAAAACCTAAGAATTGGAATGAACAAGAACTGATGTGGATATTATTTAGCTTTTTTCTTTTACAAAAAATAGGAAACTTACCAATGTTTTAATCATATGTGGCCTTTGATCTCTTAGATGTTCCAGTGAAGCAGCTATGTTGATTTCTTTTACACCCTTAGTGATACGATTTAGGACCAAATCTAATAAAATATATGCACCTGTTCGTCCGCATCCGTCACTAAGAATATGATTAACAGAAATTCCATCTGTAAGCCAGTAGGGAATTGTAAATTTATTTTGTTATGAACTTGTTTAAACATGAATGAAGCGTAACCCTTATAAGTGGTATCCTAGACAAACCGTCTGCATCTTGTCATTCTTCACCATAATGAACAATAAAAGCTAAAACGACAAGATGTGGCTCAGTATTCAATTCGTTTGGCTTCCAGTCATTAGTTTACTAGATCGATTCCTTTGCACTTCCTTTAGGCAGCTGGTTTGTATCGCTAACTTTCATACTTGAATTGTGGCTTGAAGCCAAGTATACTGAAAACTGAGTTGGATTGAGTGAAAGAAACTTTCTTTTTTCGGTTGTTAGTCTCGAAGCTTTAAAAGCAACGTAGAGATAAGAAATTGTAGGGTATTGATTGTAATTAGTCCAAATAGTCATTTTATTCATTCTTCACCTCAGACTATCGAACATTTGTACCTGATTATTTCTTTTTCCCTATCAATGTTGTTTTTCTTGTTATTCCTATACCTTCCATTTACTTTGTTCCATCTTTTCTCCTATGTTGCAAAAGGTAGCGGTTTTTAGTCAATATACTAAAAATTACTTCGTGTAATGGAATTCAGAAAACAGTTATCCTAGTAAGGTAAGAAACTAAATTACGGTAAGAACTCTGTTATGATGGAAAGTCTCCGAGGTCTGATCTGATGCACCGTGCTACGCGCAGCGAACCATTGAATTAGAACATAAGATTGGGCTACCGAGTACATGTATAAATACTCATTTAGATTTAAATCAATTATTCACTTTGATAAATTT